CAAGAGTGTCCTATAAGAGTGTCCCACAAGAGTTTCGTACACGAGTGACCCGCAAGATGTCCTAAAAGAGTGCCCCGGCAGAGTTTCCCACAAGAGTTTCGTACACGAGTGACCCGCAAGACGTCCTAAAAGAGTGCCCCGCCAGAAAACGAAGAGATCGATGTACGTACGTGTTTTTTCACCGGAAGTGTGTCCCAACATAATGCGTAAATTATATTCTGTGAAGCGTGCGCAAAAGCACTCACCCCTCGGTACATAACATGTCAAAGACATGAGCAAGAGACATGAACATAGTTCACTTACCGCAGACCGCTTTACCAGACAAAGGAGCTTTCCGCATGGTAGCGGAGCCCGGGATGGTGATTGCTTGACTCTCACCGGAGGCTCCGGGGGCTCCTAGGAAACCGGACAGGACCCAATCCGGACGGGCGGTCATACGCCATCTCGGCAATCTTTGCTAGAGGCTATTTGAAGGCCAAGATCGCTCGCGCCCTCAACACGGACACCAAGAAGGTCCTTGCCAAGAAAGAAACGTATGGAGAAGCCTTGGGTTCGCCTGCAATGTCCGGGGCAGGCTCAAGGACCGCTGGACAAGTGGATGGGCAAGAGTTGGCTATGCGGATGGTTCAAGCCGCTGAATCAGCTAGCCTAGCGGCTCGTCTTGCTGCTGAGGCGATTCAGAAGAAAGGGAACCAAGATGACCGAGCATGGTTTCGTGTGCTTCCAAAACCAAGCAACTTCGAGCCCAAGTCCCGGGAGGACGAGCTGGCCATGTGGAGGGACTTCAGTTGGGGGCTAGAGCAATATTTAGCTTCCTTGGATGCTAGCTTCACGGACGACTTCCGATGAGGAGAGGCAGCGAGGATCCTTTCTCTATGCCCTGTTGGCTTCACTTGTTCGACAGCGCCCACTCTCCCTCATCAAGCAGATCAAAGAAGCCAATGGCCTAGAGGCCTATCGAATGCTGGTGCAATCGCTCGAACCAGCGAGCAAAAACCGCTCGTTGGGATAAGTTGACAATGATCTTGGAGTGGAGCCAGTTCGACGTGAAGAAGGGTGGAATCCTGGCCCAACTCCTACGGCTTGTCGAGGCCTTCATCGAGTACGAACGCACCGGCAGTAGGCTCGAGGACAGCTCGAAGTTCGCCATTTTGACGAAGTGCGTAAGCGGCCGTAAGCGGCCAATGGAAGACTTGGCTCCAGCTCAACGTAGCCGAAACTCAGGACTACAATCGACTTCGTGAAGCAATCATCCAATATGACAATGCTACATTGAAGTGGAGCTCAACGATGATGCTTGGCCAAGATTCAGGAGGCCCAGCGCCCATGGAGATTGACCGCATTGGACAGAAGGGCGAAAAAGGGAAGAGCAAGGGCAAGAGCAAGGATGCCTATACGTCAATGTCAAGGGCATGGGAAAGGGAGATGGCAAGAATTCGAAAGGAAAAGGAAAGAGCCAGCAGAAAGGCCAGGACTATGGCCAGAGCAAAGGTCAACAGAAGGGTAATGCCAAGGGCGATGGACAGAAAGGCCAAAAAGGCAAAGGAGATGGTGGACCTGTCAAGACATGTTATACGTGTGGCAAACCTGGACATCTTGCCCGTGATTGCTGGCGAGTACGACAGGCCGCAGACGGTTCACCCCAGCAGCAGCAGCAGAGTCAAGGTGAGTCAAGGTGACGCTTCATCAACCTGGACCTCAACGAGTGGGAGCCAGGCAACTACGGCAAAGACGGCTGCTGTGAATTGAATTGTGGAGGTGGATCCAGTTTCACAGGAATTTGACGAGCCTTTGATCTTTGACCTACGAGGCGGTGTGCATGATGGCCAGGTGCGGATGATTCAGTTCTACCACCTGGACTATGGCAGCTTCGAGGAAGAGGTTGAGCGGGACCTGAACATCATGATGGTGAGTGAAGGCAACAGGGTGCAGAGTTCTCAAGGACCCTGTTCGATCATCGTGGACTCGGGAGGTGATGCTACTGTGCTTCCAACTTCGTTCCTGGCAGCTGGAGTGGAGATTGAGGATGATGGACCAGTGCTGCAGGACGCCCAGGGCGAGAAGATCGCCGTCGAGGGCTACAAGAGCGTCTGCTTTGTTTTCGAGGCAGAGAATGGGAAGGAAGTCCATTCGAGAAGGCCCATTTCTCGAGCGGCATTACACAGCCAATCCTCTCGTTTGGGAGGCTGATGGAAAGTGGATGGGGGATCTCAGATCAACTGGTGTACGGCGTGGGGGAGAGAGAGATCAAGATCCCTCTACGTCTGCAGAACAAAAGTTTGGTGGCTGGGGACGGTCAGGACAGTCTCAGCTGAGCTCCAGTTCGTTCGTGTGCTTGAGGCCAAGTTGAAGAAGGACCTCGAGGAGAAGATCAAGTGTCAGGCGGGTTGGAAGAAGGTTGAAGACAGGTGGATTGGAGTCCATTTGGGAAAGACCTTCCAGAACCCACAGTATGTGGGAGACATCCCATCGACAGTGAGCTGGAAGAGAGCAACCTTAGCCAAGATAGCTGGGAGCTGGCAGCTTCTGGAAATGCGTGAGGACTTGCATCGAGTTCTCAATCAGGAGGAAGTGATTGAAGGGGCCGTGGAGAATGTCATGGTGGTCACCATCCTCACTGAGGAGAACATGAGCGTTGAGGATTTGGGCTTCGAGGTGGAGACTGGACTACACCTTGATGAACAGCCTATAGCCATCAGAGACCATGAGGTGGCTGGTATGGAGAACGTTGATCTGCCTGTTGAAGAACCACAGGGAGAGAGAGTTGAGGTGGCAGAAGAGGGAGTTGCGCAAGAAGCACAATTGGCTCCTGGGCCAGGTATGCCGGACCACATCATGGTGAATGGGATCCAGCTGACCTCGGTGAGTCCGCTGAGACAACTTCGAGCAGCGTGCAACTTCTTCGGCGTAAGCAGGTAGCCGCCTGAAGTGTTACCAACGTCTGGTCAGTCACGTGAAAGAGATGGAGATTAAGGCGGCAACTCGCCAACCTCGAGAACAACCAGGAATAAAAGTTCCTTCTCAGGAGGAGCAAGACAAACATTGCCTCACGCATGTGCCTTACCAGCCCTGGTGTGAATCATGCTTGAAGCACCGGGGACGGCCAGACAGACACCTCAGGACAGGAGCTTCGAGGTTGAGCGGCGTCCCGATCATTTCACTGGACCTATGCTACACCAAGGCGGGAGAAATTGACAGACACCCACAACCTCGAGACCGAGGCCAGCCAGAGGAGGAGATGGTCATTGATCTTTATGAGGAGGATGAGAGAAAGGAAGCCGAAGAACTTCGTATCAGGGAGCTCAAGTCCGCACTCTGGTTGATCATGGTAGACAGCCAAACTCCATTGAAGTCAAAGGGGCAGCTCAGTTTGATGGCCCGAGAGATCATGACCTTCGCCCAGAGCCTTGGACATGTTGAAGTGGGCCTGTACGCTGACAATGAACCAACCATGAGGTCATTGCTTCGCATTGTCCTGAACAGCAGGCGCTCGATGGGACTCAGGACCAGGCTCTACACCACTTACGTCCTGCGAAATTGTTGTATCATTCTTGTGTCATTTGCTGCTCGCTGCAGACAACGTGTTTTCTGTTTGTGTGTTCGACTTAATTTCTGGAGTGCTCAAGAGTACGTACACACACAGCTTGTCATCTCGTTTTCGTTCTTTAAATACGGCTCTTGCCGTCAGCGATTGAGCAACAAGAGCAACAAGTGTTTCTGGTTGACGCGGCCAACAAGTTTTGAGTCATTCATTCGCCACTGATGCCAGTATCTCGATCTCAGGTGGAGCCCTCAAGCTTCGCGCTGGACATCCCAGAGTTGTTGGAACATGGAACATGTTTCTTGAACAAAGGTGTATTGACTCTAGTAAATCATGAGAAGGAACTATTTTATGGCATGGGACACTCAGCAACCATTGCCCAAAACTCAATAGCTAAAGAAGTGGGGGTGGCAGACCTTCAAGTCTCGTGCCACTTATAACTTATACCCTGGCTGCAGCGAATCAGCCAAATTGCTGAGGTGGAGTGGACAGCTCTTGGCAGTCGGAACCAAGGCAGGCTCCATGTCGGCAGGCTGAATTTCAGTGTGGTACACCGCTTGTATATCTCTTGTCGTTTTGTTGCCTCGCAGACGGGACAAGTCGCCCTCCTGCCAGCTCTGGTACACACAGATACGGCTAATACTACAACTGGTCCAAGTGAGAAGGCCAGGGGGTGGATTCAGAGACATTCATGGAAGGTTTCAAGAGGCTTTATAAACTTGCTGCTTCAAAGCTTTCAGACAAACCCTCATGGGGGCAGAAGCTTTATTCGATCCAACAGGAGACAAAGGAGGAAGTCGCAGAGGTGAAGGAGGTCTCGGAAGTCTGTAGTGCATCGGAAAAGCAGGTGAGATCTGGCAGAATTTGTCAAGAAGGACTGTGACGAAGAGTTTATGAAGGAGGTTTCTAGGTGTCCTGAACCGTTTTGTTTTACGACCATAATTGGCACACAAAAAGCGAGCAAAAAGTGCCGTGGTGAGGCGGAAGAGACCAAATCAGCGGATGCAGAACCTTCCACTCCTTTGGAGAAGCGGACCGAGCTGTTCCAACCAGCTGTGCAAATGAAGTTTCAACCTGGCAGCACTCATCGGGGCCGAAGACGTCTTTTGGCATGGAATGAGCATGGCTGCCTCAAGTTGGTGATTGGCTCCAAGCATCGCCTCGTGGAGGTCGACTACTACAAGTGCCGAGATCCTTCTTCCCTTCGTGAGATCAAAGCAGATGGAGTTGAGATCGGAGCCTTGGGTCCTGGTCTTTGCGCCTTAGCCTCATCGAGACATGTGGCGGTTCATTGGGCCCAGTCTAGCTTCGAGCATTTGGTACCCGATGGACAATGCGTCGAAGCCTTAGCCGTGAGCCGTTCCTTTGTCGCCTTCTTTGCATCGCCCCAGCGCTTTCTCCACATCTTCACTCCGGCTTTCACACGAATCGCAGAGCTAGACATGCCGCATGATATAGTCTCCATGGTGGCGTTTGATCAAATGCTCTTCTGCGTATTTCAGGCACAGCCAGAGGTAGAACCTCAACTGCACTTTGCCCTTTTTGATCTGCAAAAAAATGACAAGATTTGTGGTTGCTTGCCCATATCCCCACACTCAACCCTCCGTTGGATTGGCTTTAGTGCAGAAGAGCAGCCCCTGACATTGGATTCTGGTGGAGTGCTGCGTGCCATGCTCTCCACATCCTCAAAGAGCTGGATTCCTGTCGCAGAAGTTGGCCATGAATGCAAACTAACTCAAATTGCAAACCTTTTGCGATTTCGAGACAGTTTTCAATGTCGTGTGAACACTCAATTTATAAACCCCTGCTAGAAGGTCAACAAGGTTTAGGCCCACTTTCATCGCACCCCTCCAAACAACATGCTTGGAGGATCTTGGAGGTGTTTACTAAAGAAATCACACGCCCAATGGGTTTTGTCTACTCAATGTTGCCTATATGCAGATTTGTTCAACCTAAGACCTTCATCTTCTGGGTTCATAAGGAGGATCCCAATTGAAATTTCGTTGGCTTCCAAGGCATACACGGGAATTCACCAAAGGCGACCTGAAAGAAACAGAAGGAATTCAAACAAGGTTTGACATGAACATCGACACAAACAGAAAGCGCATCAAAAGGGGTGAAAACAAGTTCAATCACATCAAGAGGGAGGATCAATGGGATCCAAAAAAGAACAATCCATTTTTTGTTGGGTGGGGAGGGATGTGCAAAATTACGTTTTTATTTTTTTCTTTTTGGGGGGGCGTTGAGCTTGAAACATTGAATATTTGGATGGGCTTTAATGCCGAAAATAATAGCGTCATTTGTGGTGGAGGTTCAGTTTTCTGCAGGATTCCGGCGATGAACAGTGCGAGATTCTTCTGAATGGCGCATGTCCTATCCAATTGATTTGCTTGAATGGCAACTGCCAAAGGGCATGAGCCAACCAGGATTAGCCGTATGTTTCTTAATAGGTTTGGGTTTTTGAGCAGGTGAGAAGAAGAAGGGCACTATTGGCACAAGTGAATAGGGAAAGCACACATGCTAAGGAGTAAATTGCGGGGGTCGTATTTGGAGTCAAACATTTCATTTTGGGGGGGTCCGCCTCACCAAATTAATGGCTGGCGTTTGCTAATCCTGCATTCCCATTCTCAAGACTGGAACCGAGGGAATCCAATTGTGACCATACACCTCGTTCGAATGTCTCCCTTGTGAAGGCAAGCTGTGGCCTGTTGAAGCCGGAGGTGGAGTTCTCCGGTGTATGGAGGTCCGAGCAGGGGAAGAACCCCAAGTTGCAGCGCAAAGGCTGACGACTGTACCCTACAATCTGCCGGTGGGTTTTGAGTCAGATGCAGCTGCAGGAGCACTTCTGAAACAACTTGTGCGATCCAAACGAGGCAGGTCAAGGTCAGATGCTTTTTCTTTGCAACTCTTCGAAGAGCATGTGAAGCTGAAAGACCAAGAGCTTGCATACGACGTAGCCAGATGCTACCTCACGCAGGGTTCAGAGCAGCTGTCCCTTGCCCGATCAATGGCAGAGAAGTCGGAGCTTCATGAATTGGCATTGAAATTGTCTCAGCTGATCGAAGGCGGGGAGCGACCCGCCAAGAGAAGGTTAGGATCATAGAGACGTGGCTGCAGCCCTGGCTGCAACTGGGGGAGGGTTGATTTGCCGAGCTCTATGTACATTGCTTCAACAAGGTGAGACTTTTCTATTGCATTGTGGTTTTGCCTGAAACTGATCAACCCTCACATTAGCATTGTGGAGTCATGCACCCAGAAAGGGGCTGGGTCGGGTGGCTGACTCATCAGTGCGCAACTCCAAAGTGAAAAAGTTGGCTGCCCAAAGCGAACACAAAGTGAACAAAGTTGGCTCCTAGTAGCGTCCTTGCTCCTTGCTCCTAGTAGTACGGCCAGCCCCTAGAAGCGTCCTTGCTCCTACAGAAAATATTGTTTTATGTGATTCGTCATTTCTATTGCTTTCCAATTTGTTGAGGTCATAACAGAAGTTGCACTTTCCAGCTGAGCCTTTTCTCAAGATTTACGGCTAAACTCAGAAGCACTCCTCCCACAGCACAAGCAATGCAGTACATTGCAACGCATTAATATTTTGAGGACCATTGAGACTTTGCTAGAATCCACATGACATGGGGTACAATTGAATAAAACTGCATCAAAGATCATCACTTTGCACAAGACAGCCTTCAGCCACAGCGAATCAGCAACCACCATGACGTTAGCTTTGCTGGGCCAGCATGATGGTATGCCAAAATGGCATGATTCTCAGATGTCACAGAGAAATATGAGAAACCAGAGAGAAAAGGACGGAATTCGATGAGAAACATATAAAGAATGGTGATGTAGGTGCAGAGTGTTTGAATTCCAGCATGTCTCTGCTCTTCACGCGAATGGACATCGAGTGTACCCAATCGGCCTCGAATTCCGCTTCTGCCGCCAAAGAATAAGGTGGATCGAGGACCAAAAGAAGCAGCCAAAAAGCACCACCAATACGACCTGCGAGATTTGGATTATGGGCACGGAGGAGGTCGGAATACCGACTGAGCGAAGAGTTTTGCCAAGGTTCAGGGTTAAATGAACAGGAATCGCAAGGAGAGCATGAAGCAGTTATTCACAGTTGGCCAATTCCACCTGCAACCAGAACAGTGCGGCAGTTTTCCAATGACACATGAATATATCCTGACTAGTTCGCTTAAGGACTGAACATGTCCGAACACGATTTGATACGCACAATTTTTGGATCAGTTCCGCCTTGTCACAGAGGGTGTCTTGAAAACACAGCCCGCGAGATGTTGAAGAAAACCGTGCCACTGGTTCGCCGAAGTGGTTGAATGTTTGCTGAGGGACACTGCAAATTGTACATAGCTCACGGACGCGGTTGTGCATGGTGGATGCACCGAACACACAGAAAGTTATGGGAATCGGAATGTTGGTCAAGTGTGCTGTGAAGACAACCTGTGCGCCTTGGTCTCTGGAGCCTCGTTTCGCACCCACACCGGACATGTCAAAGCCCGTTTGGATGAGGCAGTCATTTCCAGACCGTTAAGCAGCTCGGGCATCCAAAGACAAACACAAGTGATGTACGATAGATATTTTCAAAGAACTCAAATAATATAAAGTTGCCAGCCAAAACCACTGTCACAATAGGCTGACAAGGCTGTGAGGCTATCACAGGCACTGCCTGGCAGCCAGGTGATGAATATACCAGTGAAGCAGAGTACAACTGTAACGCTCTCAGCTGTCAGCTCGCAGGGGTTCTCAAGTTCATTCAAGTTCTTGAATTCGAACTCTGAACTCTGTTCTTTGTCTCCAAAATCCAAGCTCTCGATTTTGCGGCAGGAAGTGGGCATCGATGGTAAAACAGTTTGTTTGCACTTGCCGGTGGGTCTTGCCTGCGACATTAAGGTCTTTGAAGTGAAGTTTGTCATTGCCACAAAGCAAGAACCTGAACTCAAAGTTGCACAGAGATGTGAAATTGGACAGATGCAGACAGTTTGTAGGTTCAGTTGGTTGAGAGGTAGAGGTTTCTATAGACAAGTAAAGGTTGCCATGCGGTGCCTGACAAGTTGCAGAACACAAGCGGCGAAGCCGTCAATCACATTTTCACAGCCAGCTGCGGGCCGTCCACTAGATGCTTGTTTCAGCATTGCTACCAAAACAGTTGTTTACCAAAAAAGTGTCTTTGGGCGCACATCTGTTTGTTGCTAGAAGGGGCGAAAAGAAGAACCGATTGCTTCGAGCGGACTGAGGTTGGGAAAAGACCCTGGAAGCCTGACAGTAGTCATGAAGGGTGGATGCAGTTGGCGACAACAAGCGGACACCGAGGACAGGACTCAACATGCATTTTGGGCTCAGTTCAGTTGGCCACGCTGGCTTTCACCAAAACTCGTTGTTCTTCTGCACCCTTCGCAGCTTCGCAGGAAGTTGCCCGGAAAATCTATGTGAAGGGCATCAAGTCATTCACGCGCGGAAAACATCAGTGGCCACCTGCTCAAATACTACCCGTGATTGATTGCTTTGCCCTTTCAGTTGGCTTCAATCATCCACAGATAGTAATCCACACACTTGAGAATAGGCTCGCAAGAGCATAAATTCAGGGCGATACCAAGAGTGCATTAGCACTTTACGACCTAGTTATATAGTGCAGAAACGACCTGATGAACCTGGAAATGGCCCTGTGCAAACAGAAGGGCGAAAAGTCAGCAACAGTATAGGTTACATCATGAAGCTGCAAATCTGGAGACCGCAGGTCGCAGGTACACAAGAAGCCGTCCCTTCTCGCTTCACCAGTTGTGAGTTGGCCCCGGGACAACTCACAACTGCCTGGACCCCGCTCGGTGGTATCAGGGCAATGAATTTACTGTCAATTCTATATTGCCTTGAGTTGAGAGTGAGTCGCCTGGGGACGGGGTGTGGCACACACACACACACAGCACTTAGATCCATGCTCGCAAGAGCTGTATCAGTTATGACTTTCACGTGAAGCGGCTAACATTTTAAGTGAATACTTAGCGCTTGACTTGAATGGCCGGAGGCCTGGAGGAAGGTGGCTCCAGGGCTGGGCGGTGTTGGTGTTGGTGCTTTGAGCGGCGGATGGGCTGGTTGGGACGGCGTGTGGATGGTGGTGGCATCGGGTTCTTGATTTGGGGCTGGCGGAGCTGGTGGTGCGGCGTCCGAGAGGTGAGGTAGTGTAGGCGCGGATGCTGCGGGATGGGCTTGGCCCACTCGGGTGCTGGTATGGTACGAGAGCGTGGGACGAGCCAAGGGTTGCTGGAGATTTGGTAATTGGGAGGTATGCCCGGGGCTGGAAGTGGTGGTGATGGATCCGTGGGGTTGGTTGTGGTGGTTCTTACCAGGTTGGAGGTCATCACAGTACATCAATGACAAGGCAACGCCCAAGTTGGAGGCCACTACTAGTGAGCGTTGGAGGCCATGGCGCCAGGGTTGGAGGCCATCGCCGCAAGTAGACCAAGTCAACAATAGGTTGCTTGGTCGCCCCCATCCTGCCGGAAAGGGGAGTTGCGAGGGCGCATGTGTACGCAAAAGGAGCAAAAGAGGCGAAGGACATGAGAAGAGGACGAGACCTCCGTGCGTGGTCGCCGACGAAGTTTGTAAGGCACGCTGCGCACCAGAGGCCGGGACTACGTAGTTTCCCGCAGGAGCTAGCAAAAGACGGAATTCCCCTGAAGGAATTGCTGCTCTCTTTAGCTAGCTACTGTCAAAACAACTGCGCTTGAAGCAAGCGCATGAACGGCTCCTATAAACCGCGAGTGTGTGCACGGGGCAGCTCCAATGACCGCTAGCGGTGATCTGGGTTCGATGAATCCGCCGGAGGGCAACATGACTACAATGGGGAAGGCCCCTGCCGCCTTTAGAGCCACCCGCATGTGTGGTCGACGCTGTCGCCAGAGCTGCCATGCACCCTATTCACACCGGGAAGAGTTATTGGGTGGAACTGTGGAACGATGTCAAAGCCCGGAACCTCCTAAGTCCACAACCTCCAAAAAGCGCGTGTGTGGGTGACACCGTCACTGAATGCAAGAAATCAACCTGATGAAGTTGCAACAGCCTGGGAAACGGCGAGCCATTGGAGTCAGTGTGTTTTCTTTCGAGCAGGTACAGGATCAAGCGTCCTTGACCCCTTCCCATCAGTCATCATAGCTTCGTTGCGCGCAGTAGATCACAGATGCTGCACGCCCCTCATAGTCATACTGTCAAAGTGACATGATTCGAATTCGCACACATGCGAGTCAACTCATTCGCGTGCAGTGTAATGGCGGTTCACACACACACAACCTCTCGAGAGCAGCTAGCCAGAGCAATGACAGCCTGCAGTAGTCCACCAAAGTGGGCAAATCCACACCCAAAAGGCCGTCCATCAAATGGGCCAATTCGCGCCCAGAAGGCCACAAAGGAGGCATCTATCGTAGTAAGATCATGACTTCAAGCAAGCCAAGTCAACCGTTTGTTCTGGCGTGGCTTGCTCTGTTGGGGCATCGGGCATGAGCTTGACATCGAGGCCTAACCCAATCGCTATCATTGGAACTGGCCATGCTGGTTTGCGGCAGGCCGCGTTTTGAACATTTCACCATGGAAGTCGCAGCGACTTGTTCGAGTGGGTTCAAATCGTTCAAATCAATGTCGACCCGACAAGAACCTATAGATGCCCTAGCCCTTCTGCAACTTCCAGCGCCCCTCAGGTCTTCATCGCCTAACCCCCTTTTTTAGGACAAGAGAAACAGACATCGTTTGTTGCCAATGGATGACACCGGCATTTTACCAATGCCCGCCTTGTTGACAAAACGTAGTTTCTCCTGCATCAAACCTGGATTTCAATGAGTTCCAAACATGTCGAGGCCATGTTCTTCCTCAAGCACAAAGAGCACAACTTTGTGATATATGACAGAAAGGCCGAGTTTCGACCTACTCGTATAACAAATGCAGGGTCCCAACAAGGTGGGCCGACAAGAGGTTCTTCTAGCCAGAGATTTTGTCCATCACTCATGTAATAGAATCACAGATTTGACAGTTCTTCGGGATCTCTTCGTTGATGTGATCCCTTTTGCTTCAGGCAATTGTGGGTGGCACATCTTGGATCGACCAGGCTCGGTTCAGGGCGACGAGGTTCGACAAATCGACTGTTTTGTTTGTACATAGAACTTCCCATAGAACCTTTAAACTCATGTAGAGACTCTTACAGACAAAAACCAACTGATTGCAGTTTAAACACAGAGGAACTGCGAAGGCAGCATGTCAGTTAGTGTTGGAGAGTGTCTCTATATATAATATTTCTCCATTTAACACTGAAGCTTTGAGATGTTTGAGGCCAATGCCACCTCAAAGCTCCAGACCGAGCTTGGTACGTATCACCTGCAGTATGACGAGGACAGAGCAGAGCTGCAAAGCCAAGTCGTCGCAAGGCCCAAAAAGAGGACTTGAAGCTGAGGTGGACGCAGAACATTGTGTCAATTTGTGTCAGAGCCATTTCATCGAATGATTGATCGAACCAGTTTGTCCTTAGCACGGTTGTGAAGTGAATCGTTCTCAAATGACCCCTGAAGGACAATCCTGTGCCAAAGAACATGAGCACTTGGCCTTCCACGGCCGAGCTGCTCGAGCACTTTAAGGAGGTGGCCGAGGAGTATGGCGTAATGCCGTGCCTTAAGCTGAATGTCAAGCATATCGATATATATATATATATACATGCATCATGCATCATATAATATACGTTGAGTTTGTGTCTAGGTACGCCAAGATGTGCACAAATGTCGGGGAGATGACCATCAAGACGCCAACTCGTCAAGAGCAAACAGCTGACGCTTGTCATGAAGTTGGAGCCCAACTTGGCAAGCTCCCCCTGCCAGGAATTTGTGGTTTGGCCTCTTCAGGGTGCTCCAAAAGTGTCGTTTCCGGTTGCGGTTAATGTCAGCTGGATTAACCGCAACCTTGTATTGATTTGTTTGTTGCAGCTTGCAGCACTAAACACGAGGAGATGACAGCGACGGGTCGAAATTGGCTGCTGCCTTAGCTTTTTGCTGATAGGAAGAAAAGGACAATCCAGTCGACTTCCCTTCTTCCTATGACTTAAGGTTTTCTCAGACCTATACTCTTACATTGGAGCCTACTGATGGCACAGGTGCATTGTTTTTGTGCCAAGTGTGGCTTCTTGGGCGGTGTTTGCACGTGCCTACTTGTATCCGCATGCAAACACAGGTGATGGTCGAGGTGACAACATTGGGCTGACGGGTGAGCCAAGCTTCAAGGCCTGAATGACCTTGTACCACACGGCAAAGGACACTGAAGCCCATTAAGCAACTCCCCTCCTGAAATAAGCCTGTTGGGCCGGCCTGTTGGGGGTCCATTGGGGTGGGTGTTCAAACAGGGCCCTATGCAGTGCGGATGCGAACAACGAATATAGAGGATGTTGCAGAAACGCTGAAACAGTCTCAGGTGGACCACTCCGCTGTTATCATGTACCCGGGCAACCTCACCCTGCCCAAGCGCTTTGATTTGAAGGGTGAGGAGTGAAGCAGCTCGATTATTGAATTCATCAAAACCATGCTTTGCAAAGCATTCGGGTAGGGATAGTTGTCAACTCTTTCGAAAGCAATTCAAAGTGTTAGCGGCATCAGGAAACTTGCGCAGAAGCACCCGTTTCAGTCCTAAACTAGAGCACTGAACTTACGCTTTTCAGTTTGATGGACGGTGAATCCAAACCCCTTTCTTGTCCAGGGTTGTGTAGCCTCTGGCGACAAAAGGGTGCAAGAAGGCAAGAGAGGGCACCAGCACCCGGTTCCTTAGCTTCCTCAGCATTCATACAAGAGAATCTCACTGGTCTTGCGTGAGATGACTGAGATTTTGAGCACCTGGACAGCTGAATCCTCACGGCTGCAGTCCTTTAAAAGCGTTTATTGATTGGGTTTGGACATTGGGACACTCACAAACATCAACGAATCAACGGTTATCCCGCGTGCTCATGGGAACAGCCAAATGGACAGCCCGTCACTGGAATGTGGTTCGTGGGTGTATGGTTTTTCCGTGAGGACTCCTTTGACGGACCTATTTCTTATGCAATCATGAATGACTTTGCTGCTGGGCTGCAAACTCTGGCAAGATTTGGACACGTGCTTGCAAAATTGTGAACATGATAGTCAGATTCTATGTGGAGGCAGTAATCTGCTTTCACAAGGGCTGTCCATGAGATTCCAACTTCTCTACTTTTCCACTTTCATTTCTATGCATTGTCGAGCAATTTCCCGTGCAAATCCTGCAGAGACTGCGGGCTGAGTCGAGCAGTCGAGTATATAAATGGGAAATGTGAAGCCGTTGAACAGCGCAAAGCCTTCCTCGCTAGGACTACAACGCGACCACTGGTAAAAGAATAGCACGGTAGCCCAAGCGAGCACTGAGTCTTGTTTTCTTTCTGCAACAAGCTAGATACCGAGTGCTGTAGTTATGATGACAGCGACATGTCACTTCGTTTCAGGGGATCTTGGGTCATGGCGCCTTTGCTGTGGAGAATCTCCGGACCTGCTTGGAGTACTCTTGCAAGAAGGCCGACTTGTCTGAAATCTTGTTTGTCAAAGCCTGCTTGAAGCGTGAAGAGCTAATCAAACGCATAAGGCACCGGATTGGTTTAGAACACGAGGATTTCAGCGATACCAATGGTCCGAAGCTGGACTGATTTTTCATTGAGTTATGCCGCAGAAAGGGCTCACAAGGTTCCGCTGTAGATTCTTGACCATTCAGTGTGTGTATAATTGCGACTTGGTCGGCAACAGGGACTGTTCCAGGATAGTTTCAGAATGTGCTTTTATAATAAGCCCAAGAAAAATCCCCAAACAGCTGGATGTCAAAATCCGCCTACTAAGCACCGGCACCATCGCAAGTTAACTAACAAGTGCCATGTTTTTGGCCAGACAATACAGTCTTCAAAAGCGTGCCGCGCGAGCATGCCAACATGGCAATATGTCAGAACCCACTCTGGAGTTTGCCAGCAAGTCAGCACGACAGCATGGCCCGACTTCGGCATCTCAGCGTGACAACATCTCAGCATGTGAGCGTGACCCATGCCAGCGCGCCAGCATGAGAACATGTCAGCACGACACCACAAAGGTATATCAGCGTGTCTGACAACGCGAATCATCAGCGTATCGGCATGGCAACACCTCAGCGATTTCGTATCTGCAAAGCTCCCGGACCTGCTCATGAAGCTCCAGAACCTCCTCCGGAACCTGGAGCCTCCTCCGGAACCTGCTCCTGAACCTCCTCCGCACTTGCTCTGGAACCCTGCTCCGGAACTTGCTCTGAAGCCGCCTCCGAAACCTGCTCGGAACCTGCAGACCTTGCTCCGAAACCTGCTCCGGAACTTGCTCCGGAACCTCTTCGGAACCAAAGAAGTTTGTACCCCTAAGCTTCGCTGTTGGGCCATTCTTAAAGGAACTTAAAAGACAAGATCCAAAGTTGAGCGAGCCTTAAGTTGAAACAATACGAAACGATGAGCGTGCAGTTGTCAAGGCAATGACAATGATTGCGCACTCAGCCCGAGTTTTCGTCCTGGTGACTTTACTATCTCTTGGTAGCGCTCAAGAGCCGAACATCACCCGGTGCACCACTGGAGCCAGCAACATCAGCCAGAAGGCTTTTCATGTGCAGGTTTGCAACCTCTTTGGAGCCACTTGCTACATGAACCACCCCGACATCCAAGATTGCGCTACAGAGGCGATTGCAATACCGAGTGGAGAATGCAAAATGCCTCCTGCCTTTTTGAAAGGATCAGATAATATCATATATACATAGATTATTTGTTTATCTAGAATCTAGATCTTTGTCATTGCTTCCTTTTTTGCTGCTTCAGGTACTGTTTTCATGTGTTTTCAAGAAAGCCAAGGTATCCAATCTTGGAGTACCAAGACAATTGGGTGCGCAGTGGATCCGCCGCAGTGGAGGAACTTTCAACCGAAAGCGACTTGGGCTGCAGCATCTTCATCCAGAATGGAGATGCGCGGTTTTCAGGAGCTTGTGCTGCCGTGCAGTGCGCTTTGGACAGTGGCTACGCAGCACCTGGCATGTCAGCGGCCAGTGGCAACTCTCGAGACATCGGAGTGACCGATACAGCCACAGCTGGATGGCAAACTTGGTCGCTTGTTGAGATCCCGGATGAATCGGAGCAGTTGAAAACAGTGTTTCTGTACCGCACAGGGAACTACATTGCGACCCTTAAAAGGACATACACATGGAGCACTGGAGGAGTGACAGTGTCGGTGGGATCATTGCCCACGTCAAATGGGAACAACTATGGCCCAGTGGCATGCCCAGGATCGAACCTGGTATTGACTTCCACAGAGGCAACAGCCATCTCTCCTTTGGACTTGAAGGTGTGTGGTAGCACTGGCAAGTGGGTGTACTGGAATGCCATCAACCTCCTTGTGGACCAAAGCTTGTATGCCAAGTTCACTGATGATGCCACTGCAACTTCAGGCAGTACTCGGAATATTGGTGCAGTTCCTTTCCTAGACGGCAGGACCGGGTTGTAAACACCACAAGACATGTTGCTTTGAAGCAAGCACTGTGTAACACAATGACAAACCGTTTGCCGGTGGAGGAGCTCTTTCAGAAGTGGCGAAGCAGCGATGGACGACCCTCGTGCAGTGATGGTGAACCAGGACAGCACAGCAACTTCGGCAGTGCTCATGACTAGCGGAACAATTACACCGACGATGGCTTACGGAGCAGCTTCAGGCGAGGTTGCTGGTACATGGCGGAGCTTCGGTGTGGTGTTCTATTGCGATGACTATGCTCGCACTGACCTCACAACATGTGCGTCGGCAAACCAGAAGATGTTCTACGTGGCTGATCCCAACCCTGAAGAGCAGTTTGGAAGCACTGCAGACCTCGGCGGGTTAGGCAGCAGTCAGGGCACGTCAGGAAGCATCCACTGCACAAGTCCTGTTGCCTTGGTGAGCCTCTGCTTCTTGATAAGTTCTATCTTTGAGGCTTTGCTTTGAAGTACGGATGTTTGGCAGCTAGCAATTTGAAGGCTGCCCAATTTTGCACCACGACGTTTGCTGGACTGCGCGCCGCCTGCGCGCCGAGGGCGCTCTTGTATCTCTTGTAATAGGCGGAGAAATAGCATGTTTCCTGCTCAGCCCTACCCGTACTAAGAGGAAGCTTGTGTGACCTTTCCTGGCTCTGATCCAATGATGTACTTGGCGCCCCATGTATTCTTGCAAGTGAAGCTACACTGCTTTTTTTGACTCTGAAACTTCAATTTGAGTATGCTTGAGGTGTACATGATTTGTAGACGGAAGAACCTGTCGTGTCCCAGGGCGTGGTGCCTCAGACATCCCTAACCGGATCTGGCCTGCTGTTCTCTCTCTCTCTCTCTCTCTCTTGTTTGGCTGCAGCCTCAAAACCCAGTGGCCAGATCAGGATCGGGTACCTTTTGAACATTTCCTTTATAAGGTGGTGTCATGGTATGTCCAAGCCTCAGTTCACCCAAAACACAGATGTACCGATGTACCTGCAGCGCAACTTGTTGATCTCAGAAAATTGACATGAAGCCAATTGGGAATCTGAGATCAACCAGTCACTCAATCCGGTCAGTGGCTGGGGTCCGAGTCAAGCCGCAGCTAGCCGCAGATTTACAGCTGGAACTGAATGCTTGCAGCTTCTTGCATCACGCATGGATCAAAACATACATCACGAAAGCCAGCCGATAAGCTAGGCTGGAGTTGGGATGGGTGAACGAAGCGAGTATTAGGGTGTGTGGGGGGGTGGTCGCGCAGAGTGCAATTTCGAGGTCAGTTTGGGATTGAACATGTATAGTTTTTGGGGTTTTGTGATGCAAGTGATGTAATTGACGGAGAAGAGTGCATCATTAGCATCATGAAGGGCTTAGGAGGCAATGTAAACCGCCTTCTACCAGGAGTGGGATGTCATGTCGACGATAGGAAAGGGGGCACAACAGGCCCGAAAAGTAAGTGGTTGAACCGCCTCCAGGAAAGGGGTCTCTGGTGCCAAAAGTAAAATTGATTCCTATCAAAAAGAAAATTGATTCGTATCAAAAAACATTATATAATTCGTATCAAAAAGAAAATTCCCCCTACTCCTGGTCTGCTGGTTCCCTGGTCGCTTGGTCCTTTGGTCCCTTTGTCCTGGTCCCTTGGTCCCTTGGTCCTCTGGTCCCTTGGTCCTCTGGTCCCTGGGTCCTCTGGTCCTTTTGGTCCTCTGGTCCTTTGGTCCTTCGTCCTGGTCTTCGCGTCCTTGGGTGTGTAGTTTCGAGGCAAGACGCGTTCAAGGTGATTTCGAAATCTGGTCATACATCCTGCGAAGCACAGTGGCAGACCTTGTATCGCCAGACGTAGCAGACCTTTTTTGTGAGCCACCCTGACGGTAAAATTTAGACGAAGAAAGTGTCATTCCAAGGTAGCAAACCTTTTGTGAGCCACCTGAGGGCAACATTTTGAAGAGGAAGGAGCCATTCCAACGTTGCAGACCTTTTGTTAGCCTTGCAAGGTTTAAACTTAGAGGAAGAAGTTGCCATACCAACGTAGCAGGCCTCTGTTTTGTGAGCAACCCGAGGGTAGAACTTGCTATTCCAACGTAGCAGACCTTTGGTGAGCCACCGGGGACAAACTTTTGGTGCCACGCCAAGGTAGCAGACCTTTTGTGAGCAAGATTTAGAGGAGCAGTAGACCTTTTGTGAGCCATGCGAGGGCAAAATTTACAGGAGCAGACCTGTTGTCAGCATAAACTTTAGAGGAGGAAGGTGCCATTCCAACATAGCAGACCTTTTGTGAGCAATCCACAGGTCTTGTGGTTTTGTGAGCCATCGTGAATCCAGAGAGATCACGGTTGAGATGCAGAGAGGCCCAGGTCCATCTACATCTACAAAGATCCAGAGGCCTGGAGATCCAGACGGATCTGCAGGTGTAGAGGCCTAGAAACCCACAGACCTAAAGATGGAGGTTTAGAGGTCTTGAGTCTTGAGATCCAGGGAGGTGTTGAAATCTAAGTTCTAGGGTCTAGACTTGCAGAGGGTGTACAAAGATGTTCAGATCCAGAGATATCAAAAGCTCTTTTCACAGGTCTTGAAACCCGCAGAATTTTGCAAACGCCACGCAAACTGCACTTCAAGGTTCGCAATCGCTGCGCTTGCCACGAAGTCTGCGCTTATAGACAG